CAACCGGTCACCACTGATGAATAAGATTGCAAATGGTGATTTCCCACCGGTGCAGTTTGTAGCGAATGGTCGTACATACAACTATGGCTATTATCTTGCGGAAGGGATCTACCCAAGTGGCAAACATTTGTGAAGCCGTTGAAAAACTAGAAGGTAAGAAAAATCTTGATTTCCACAATGCTCAAGCGGCGGCTAGAAAAGATGTGGAGAGAGCTTTTGGGATTTTGCATGCGCAATTTGCTATTGTGAGAGGATCGGCTCGATTTTGGGATCAAAAAATGCTTTGGTACATCATGCACGCTTGTGTGATCATGCACAATATGATCATCGAGAATGAGCGTGGTCAAGATGTAGACTACTCTCAATATGAGCTCTTGGGACATCCCGTGCGAGTGCGACGGAGGGCTGAAAGGGTGGCTTGTTTTGTTGCCTCCTATCATGACATTCGACGTGCCGTAGCGCATGATGATCTTCAGAAGGATCTCATTGAGGAGTGGTGGGCATGGAATGAACGACAAAGAGCATCATGATTTGTGCGTTCGATGTTGTATTGTTGAAGTATTTGTTGTGTTATTGCACTATTTGTTGTATTGAATGATAAACTGTTTGTTTGAGTTGTAATAATGAAATTGAACTATTTATTGTTGATTTATCTTGTTTGTGTTTGATCTTTTGCTTGTGTTTGGATTGCATATGTTATTTGTGCGAGAGTCGCGCGCGCTGCATTTTTGCGTGCTGCTGGAGCTGCACGCGTGCTCTGCATTTTAGCGCCGCTGCTGGAGCCAGCGCTACCTGCCGCGCCAAACCAGGTGATGGGCGCGCGACAAAGTAGTTTTTAGCGTGCGGCGCGTTCAACGGCTGTTGGAGATGCTTTCACGGGTCCCAGAGCATCTGCTCATACAGGAGGAAGAGCACCTTCTCTGACCGCTTCCTGCTCATGCCCCTGTAACCCACCACGTGGCGCCACTGTGGGCCGCTCCCGCATAATCCGTTGCAGAACAGCTCGAACGCCTCCTCGAATGTGTACAGCAGCGGCTGCTGCATGTCCGTGTCCTCGTCGGCTCGGGCTCGGGCTCGAGCTTGTGCAACGACGACCGCCCCTTTCTAGGCGAATAACCACAAGGAACCAAATGCATCCTTTGTGTCCCGACAGATGTACATGATCCGGCAGCCGGACTCCTCCGCGGTGATGCGCCATGGCAGGAGAAAGTAGGGAAGGTGTGTGGCGACCACGCATGGTGAACGGAGCACCGCGAACGCATCGACTGCTAGCAGATGTGGTATTGCAGCCCAAGCAATTTGGTGAAGGCTTTCTGTTGCCATGGGGTATGGAGGCGTTGTTCCTCCAAGTGCACTAAGCTACGTTGGTCCGTTTTCACCAAAAAAATCACCAAACTATAGGTAGGGTCGCCAGTGGTCGACCGCTAGTACAATGGCAAGGTATTCTTTTTCATAAGTTGAGAGACCTTTGGTGCGAGGGCCCAATGCTTTACTGAGGTACGCGATGGGATGCCCTTCCTGTTGTAACACTGCTTCCACTCCATATTCACATGCATCTATTTCAATGACGAATGTTTTCGTGAGATCCAAAAGAGCCAAGATTTGTGCTGATGTCAGGGAGACCTTAAGAGCATTGAAGGCTGACTGGGTGGCCTCCGTCCACTGGAATTGGACATTCTTGCGTAGGAGTTGAGTTAATGGCCTAGCTATCATACCAAATTGGTGAACGAAGCGCCGGTAATACCCAACCAATCCTAGGAAGGCTCGAACCTCCTTGACCGATGTTGGCACAGGCCAAGCAGCCACTTGATGGACCTTGTCAGAGTCTGTTGTTACCCCTTGTGCAGATATTGTGTGGCCGAGGTATTTGATTTCTTGCTGAGCAAACACACATTTGTATTTCTTCACATACCATTGATCTCTTCATAGCAGAGCCATAACCCGTCGTAGATGTTGCACGTGCAAAGTAAGAGACTGACTAAAGACGAGAATATCGTCGAAGAAAGACATGGCGCAGACACATAGCACTGGTTCTAAAGTGACAGTCAATCCCCCATTAAAGGTTGTCGGTGCTCCACCGAGGCCAAACGGTACCACTCTATACTAATAATGTCCAGAGTGAGTCTGGAATGCAGTTTTGTATTCCTCCCCTTCTGCTAGACGAATCTAATGATATCCTGAGCGCAAGTCCAATTTGGAAAACCAGCGTGCCCCTGATAGCTCGTCCAATATGTCCTCGAGAACTGGCACTGGGTACTTGCTGATAATGGTCATGGCGTTCAGGCATCTATAATCGACACACATGCGCCAGGTGCCATCTTTCTTTTTGACTAGGATGATGGGAGAGGAGAATGGGATGCTGCTCTTTTGAATAAGAGCAGCCTTCAACATTTCTGCCACTTGTCGTTCCACCTCCATTTTCAATTCAGGTTTGTGTCGATAGCCCCGTATGTTAACTGGTTGTGCTCCCTGCATCAGGGGAATTGTGTGATTACATGCACGCTTTTGTGGCAATCCCGTAGGTTCCAAAAAGATATCCTGATAGTCCAAGAGTACCTGCACAATCTCTGGCGGGACTTCTATGCAATTGAGTTCAGTGATTGTATCTGAATCAGTGGCAAAACAGATGTGTATAGCGTAGGCTACAGCTGCCTGCTTCTCCATGCTTGCCAGCTGCACGCTATTCAGAGTCTCACATTTGCTTGCGTTGGATATTACCCCTTGCAAAACCACCGTGAATCCCTCATGTTCAATCTGCATACGTCTGCTTGGCCAATCGATGAGCATGGGACTATGGTATTCTAGCTAGTCCATGCCCAATATGATATCATAAGATCCCAAGGGTAACAATCTGAAATTGGTGGAGAACACGTGCCCTTGTGCAAACCAAGAACATCCCAAGACCTCCTGAGTGCACCACAACTTAGATCCATTGGCTACAAGCACTTTAACAGACTTGGGCATAGTATGGACTCCCTGCAAGCTGGGCAATAAGTGATGAGAAACAAACGAGGCTGAACTACCGGAGTCGACCAGCATCAGAACTTTCTGTCCCTATAGCCAACAATGTAGTTGCAAGCAACTGGGTGCCTCAGTTCCCGAGACTGCATTGGTCGAGAGCTGCCACACTTGTTCAATTTGTATCCGGTTGAAGTTGTTGTTGTTCAATTGTGGTAGCTTCCTCTTCAATAATATCCAGGTTGAACAAGCTTAACATCTCCTCAATGACATGCAACTTAACTGTAGGTGGACAAATGTGATCATGGCCCCAATGCTCGCCGCACTTAAAGCATAATCCCTTGGCTCGGCGGAAATTTCGCAGCGCCGTGATCTTGGAAGAATCACTCCCAGCATGAGCTGCCTCTGTCCCTCTGCAATCATCTAATGTTGGCGAGGTGGTCGGTGATCGACCCGGTGGAGGAGGTAGCGCCAATGGTATTGAAGGTCGAGCACGCCCCAAAGAGGATGTCGCATTGTGTCGGTTGTGCCAGGATCCTCGCTGTCCCTCAGCCACCTCTTCCTGCAGAATGGCGAGTGCACAAGCAGTGTCGAGGTCCTTGAGTCGTTGTACCATCACCACAGTACGGATATCCGTGTGCAATCCCTCAATGAACCTCGTCAGAAAATAAAGTGGGTGGACAACATCAGAATAGGAGATAAGATGGTTCATGAGGTTTTCAAATTGCTCAATGTAATCAGACATAGAACTAGTTTGACGCAGAGCATAAAACTGATGGATAATCGATTGATGCCTGTCGCGTCCAAATCGAGTGCATAGCAAGGTACAGAATGCTTCCCAATCGAGACCAGCAAGTTTCCCCTTGACTAATTGCAGCCAGATGGCTGCTGAACCAGTGAAATGCAGGGTGGCCATAGGAACGAAATAAGTGTCATGAATTTGGAACATGGCGAAGTACTGCTCACACATAGTTTTCCATATCTTTGGGTTGTCACCGGAGAACTGGGGAAACGAGAGTGATGGGGAAGCCTGGCTTAGCCCCGCGATAAGATGACCCGAAGGGAAACTAGAACCTAGGGATGGATCAGACTCTTGGTAATTGATGGGGGTGTGGAAATTTAGCGTACCATTGGCCGGAGAGGTCGCCGGCGGGACGACGCCCGCCGACAACCCACCCCGTGGTTGAAGCGACTTGCCGTGGCCATCGGGCCCATGGATCGCGTCGATGGGTGATAGATCAGGGAGATCCGTCTTCTTCGATCCACCAGCGGATGCGGTCGCCGCGGAAGGCCGCCCGCTCTGGAGTATGCCCACCGTCTCCTGGATCTTGGAGAGGCGGGCTTCGAGGTCCGGTTTCCACGTTGTGAGAGCGTCCACTTGTGTGGACTGGTGGTCGATCCGCTCCGCGAGCTCCTTGATGTCTGCCCGGGTTTCCTCGTTGGCCTTCGTCAAGGTATCCGCGAGCTTGTCGAGGTACGATTTGAGGGCGGGATCCATGGTCGCGAGCGACTGCTGTCGGTCGCTCGTCTGGCGGCGCGTCTCCAGGGCGACAATGAAGGAAGGATGGTAGTTGGCGACTGATACCTCGTGTTAGCTACTCTCTCAATATCTTTGGATTAAACAGGATCATTACAGGTTGGGATACAATCTTGCTAGGAGGAAGATGAACTAGCAGAGAGGAAGAAAGGGGAGCAGGTTACAAGCCGTCGCCGCCAGTATGATCCAAGCCAGGATGTCTCCTCTCACCTACTCCACCCTATCATATCTTGCTCAGGTCGAAGAGATATGAGATCCATTGAGGCCCAGTGAACTTGTGGCAAGGTCTTCGCTCCCTCTTGGGCCGGTTCTGTTGGGCTGCCTCCGCTCGTGGCCCTGGTGCTCCTCCTGTAGGTAGGGCGCTGACACAGATGTACACGATCCGGCAGCCGGATTCCTCCGCGGAGATGCGCCATGGCAGGAGAGAGTAGGGAAGGTGTGTGGCGACCACGCGTGGTGAACGGAGCACCGCGAACGCATCGACTGCTCCACTGTCGTCCGTCGACTACGCGAACGCCATCTCCAGGTACCTGACGACATCATGGGGGTTGCCATGGCGGAGAGGGTGGTTGAGGTCACATGGTGGGTGCTCGGCTCGGTTGCGCGTGGAGAAGGCGATAGCCTTGAGCCAGGTGGTACCGCACTTTGGGAAGCTGGCAAGGAGGACATCCGACGGCCTCGGCTCGAAGACCGAGTGGACGGCCAGAACGACCACGAGGAACTCCTCCAGGAGCCAGAACCCGCCGTACTGCCTCAGATGGAACGGGCGGAACCGCATGTCGAGGGGAAGCGAGGTGATCGCAAGCTCGGCAATGTCGTCGGCGGCAGAGGCAGCCACGCCGTTGTGCATGCGTGCGTCCGGGTGTGTTGGTGGTGGTGCGTGAGTTGTAATGTGGCTGTGGCCTTGTATAAGCAGCAGCTAGATAACGATGCCCCGCCACGCGAGGTAGTTCGATCGGTAGGCTGCTCCGCGTGCACGTCAGCACAGGCGATGCTGACGATAAGATAAGCATCACTTTCTGGCAATTGTACGTACTTTTCTTCTGAATTTGCTGGCTCACGTCGTATGTATGAGCCTAACGGATACGCACACCAGCTGGTACCTACACGAGCAAAATAGCTCATGCACAGCACAGGTGTACGTGCAAAAACTAATTAACCAAGAGCAATGCTCATGTTCATGCATGCACATAAGGGCATTCAAATTTCATAAATTTAGGTACGAAGTACAAAAACAAGAAAACTGACAGTTGAGAGACATGATTTGACTGACGACACATCACACAGCAGTTAAAAAATTAAAGGCTTACTACAAAATTCACTCGAGGAGAGCTAGAAAAACTAATTGGTTATAACAAAATTGAAGGCATAAACACACACATCTACTAGTTTTTCATTCATGTTTTCTGCAAAAGTGATCCACTATTTTTCCACCCAGCTTATTTCCTCAGTAAACAAACTCTATCTTTTGCTTCATGACCTGAAGATTGCTGTTTATTTCCTTTTTTTCGAACGGCTATCCAAAGTGCTAGGTTTTAATAGGAGGAGGAAAAAATCAGGCAAGAGTTTTGCCAAGAAAAAGGCCAAATAATGTGAGAAATGTACACCATAAAAGAGCTCAAGAAAATCCTATTTTTGTTGCTCAACACAATACTGTTCCTGTTTGCTAAATGCTGTAAATGTGAAAATGGATTTTGCTCAAATGTACGTTAGTTTCATGTTAGAATCCCTCTCCACAAATTTCATGCACTGCCCTCTTCTATCTGGAAGAAAATTTACTAACTCTGTCTAACCTGCTTTCGCTTCTGGTTATTAAGTCTTTTCTATTGAATATTATGATCCAACTCTGCATGTTGACCAGCAAACCGCAATGCAGGGTCATGAGCAGGTAAACATTGGCTAACTGAATTACTGTGTTAGCTGTTGCAGATTCACTCAGTAGTGCACAATTAACAAAAGGAGCCAGCAGCTCAACAACTATAGTATATGAAAACCTAAAGCCTCAAAATTATCAGATACTACATTACTTCTTAATGCTTCTGACTTGTTTCTTCTTCTTAGAGAAATTAGCTTCTTGCTCGCTATTGGACGCATTTTGATTGGTACCATTCTGAAAATGAAAAAAAAAATCAAAGTGGTTCTGGGATGCAACCTACAAATAACTTGTGGGGGCACTTTTGCTACTTGCGTATAGGGGGGTTGTAGCTGGTCTTTTGTTGCCACTTCTGATCTAAATTAAGCATCAGTCTAAACCTAGAAGAGAGAATTAAGCACTAACATATTCATCTGTTGTGAAAATCTAAATTTTGCAGTTAGAACCTTGTTTCTGGGCTGAGTAGTTTGTACAGTGTTTTCATCAGGCATGGTGCATTCATCTTTGCCAACTGCTATCCTCTTCACCTTCGACAGTTCAGGCCCTTTCCTTGACTCAG